GATGACGAGGGTGATAATGCGGTCACTTAAAACCCGGAACACTTCCTGACTCAAAGCCTATAAAGAGAGAGCGCTTCTTGAGAGGCAAACGATGAATGGAGTCTAACTTAAAGACGTTAAACAAAAGCATGGGAGATAACCCAGATTTTGTATTTTGTTGCTAGGTATGAATTATACTTGAATAAATTTGATGGTGTAAAAGTGAACAATAGCAATGGTGCGGGACCGATATGATTCACGACCTGCTTCACGGCCGTGACCCTGATCGTGAATCGGTCAGCAATATTAAGGGACCTTTCTCGTAACAACGATAAGTTTTATGATCCATATGAAAACATTTCAAAAAATCCGACGAGAGCAGGGTAATGGTCAGAGATACTAGCTGCTTCTTGGTGGGCATGCCTACGAGATGATGCTTGTTCCTCTCTAGTACAAGTAAAATTTCCACACGATTGAGGAAAAGGATCTAAAAAGCGCTCTTTCTTGATCAGGCTAGCTAAGTAGCAAAGTACGAAGCGTAACCCCCCCCCCCCCCACCCCCCATTCCACGTATAAAATAGCATGAAAAGTGCAGTGCGGCACGACAAGATCGTCTTACTACGAAAATATCCAAAAAGACTAATGTGGGCAGGAATACAAATAATTCATATTCAAGCTATATAAGCTTCGTCCCAATATTTGTAAATGAAGACTCGAGGAAGAAAGATAGAACTCCATCTTGTGAGAAGCAAATTGTTTCCTTCTTATAAAGTACGTTTTGAGCATTATTGCCAGGGTAGAAGGTTTCTAAGTTCAAGGGTTGACCTTGTAAGCTTCTTATGATCCATTACTTAAGATCGAAAGTCACATCTCATCATGAATATCTATTAAGGAGAAGGATGTCGAGGCTAGGTTTGCTTGAGGACAAGTAAAGTTCAGGTGAAATTTTCTCTTCTGACGCAAAATATATATTTAGGGTCGGTTAAATTAACTAACACTAAACTTATGTTTTCTTATAGTGTGACCATCCAAATAAAGAAAACAGTCCTTTTGCTAGCAATGCATTAAAGACTGCTTACCAACGTAGAACAAAAAGTGAAGACACCTCATTGCAGATGACGACTACAAGACTTGTGGCGAGGGACCAGAAACAAAAATTCACGTACTCCGAGACTGTCCCTTTGCGCGAGCAACTTGGGTGTGACTTCTACACGATGAGCTAGATCAAATCTTTGTACGAGACCTTGCGGATAGGATTTTCCACTACACAGTAGGGCATTACTAAGTTATGGACAACTACATATTTTAGGACGAGTTGTAGTTCTGAAGAACCGCAACAACTACGAATTTCAGGATGAGTTGTAGTTCTTTGCAAAAATTCAAGTCAACTCTGTATAATTGAAGCAACACATCTCTAAAGCTTCAGAGAAGGAGAAATAATTGGAATCGGGGGACTCCGAACTAAGAGAATAATCACCTGGAAGCCACTAGAGTTTAGATGGGCTTGCCTTAACACAGATGGATATGTAATCTACTCCTTCCAGTTAAGTAGTTGGCGGAGTCAAGTGGGGATACGATGGCGGATTCATTACAACATTCACTAGGAACCTTGGATTGGAGGGGTAGGTTCGATCACAAGTGCAGAGTTAGCCGAGATTGGACAGGGACTGAGACTCACTTGGGAGCATGAGTTCGGAAGGTGATTCTGCAGAAAGACTCGACAACAGCGAAGGCGAGACCGCCACACACCACCATCTTCACTATTATATTATTGTCGTTGATGATTACCTGGCTAATTTAGGGCATTCACCCTCATTGGGGCCGCAGATTATTGCAGCAACTGATGCTGCACTCTTATATTTATAGGTGGCAATCAGATTGATTCATGGATTGGATTGGTGGATCCATGGATCAAGTGTATTTGATCAAATTGATTGATGGATACATGGATTGAATCATATGAATTGGTGGATTGATCTATGAATCCAAATGATACCCAAGTCTTGGACCGTTATGTAAATTTTGAAAAGTTTATGTACTAAAATATTATAGTGAAAAATTTTAGGTACCAAAACGTAATTTTCCAATGATATCTTTAATATAAAAATTTTGGGTGTCATATGTAAAATATAAAAAGTATAGGTATTAAAGTGTAATTTGCCATTTGGATCCATGGATCATATTTAGCCACGAGCAATCTAAAGCCTTTTGTAAGGATCCCGATCTTTCTAGTGATATGCGGCACAAACATCGTTATAAATTGCCAAAGTTGACAAGAAAGAGTTCCTTTTCACGAGTAAGAAACCGTTGTATTTTCATGGGTCGCCCTCCTAGAGTAGATGAGTTCTTTCGAATTTCTTATATCTTTTTTCTTGGATTAGCATCTCGAGGCCTTTGATGGGCATAAAAAATCGTCTTGGTAGAAAAACCACCAAACCAATAGAACAATGGTTAGCTCTGCAGCTGGTCTACAAGCAAGGTAAGTAGGTCCATTACCGGGCAGCTCGGGACTGAAAAGACCTAACAGAGTAATCCTTTATCTCAGATCGAAGATGCTAATGGAAGCGAATCAATCAAAATAGAGACAGGGAGGGGAGGCGAAAGAGATATTTTCGAGCTTGCAAGCAGCAAGCAACAACGGCTTTTCCGTCGTTGCGTGCTAGCTTGTAGTTTAGAGGTACAATAATGGTGCCCTAGAATATTATATTAAATATAAGATAAGCTTTTTATTTTTTAACACTATTTTTGGAGTTTTCCGCAACCACTACTGATAGAAAAAGGACTTTTTAGCTGCATCGCACTGCCACATAAACAATGGATCCACCCTTGATATGTATCTTTAATTTTTTGAAACATATCAATTAGTGGAATCGTTGATAAAAGAACGAAATGCTATATATGAATCACGCGCATATTCTTCGGAATTGTATGTATCTGCAGGATTAATTTGTAAAACTCGCAAGGATATGCAAGAACAAACTATTTTTGTTTGAAACATTCCTCTAATGAATTCCCTGTTCTTCGTAATAAAAGAGACATTTGATGATAAGTCTGCGCTTGTTTGGAGAGATCATCATAAATGATTAAAGTGTGTCGTTTTCGATACATAAAATATTTATCCAGAGCTGCTCCTGTATAAGGAGCAATGTATTGTAATGTAGCTGGAGAATCCACCGTTTCGGCTACTACAATAGTGTACTCCATTGCCCCTTTTTCCTGTAAAGAGCCGAGAGAAATTTACTTACGATACTTAGTTGACATTCATAAAAAGTATATAATAGTTCAATACACTTTGTTTAGCTGAAAGATGGATATTCCTTGCTCATTATCAGACAATCACTTATTCACAAATCTCGTGTGGGGCGAATAGTTTTCTTTTCCCATCTCATGAAAAAGCGAAAACCGGCCAAGAGCCATAAGCACTCTTTAAATCACAGCTGAAGCAGGTGTAGCTAGGAACTAAGCGAACCAAAGGCTTTCTTTGGTTAAAGGTTCCATCCATTTGGATGCTCTGAAGAACCGAAGCAAACCAAAGTTGAACATGGTTCAGTAACCTCTGATTCACATAATTACCAATAACAAATATACGAGAAAGTACAAAAATTTCTGCTAAAAAGTATAGAGATGCTAATAAGAACCACATTGTCAAAATTGTAACCTTCCCGCGACGTATACGCTACAAATACGTTTTTTTCCCAAAGGCAAGTTCGTCGCCAACTCTAGTGACACCATCCAATAAAACTTGCCCCATTTTAATGCAGTTAACCCGTCGAACCTGAGTTTTTTGATGCATACAAGTATTTTTGTTGGAACGCTAATACATAAGTAATGGAATGCTTAGAGTATCTTCATTTCCCCATAAAAGGATCTTATCAATCTCAGTAGAACTTATCTTTCCCTCATGTTCGGCCATAACAGTGGCCCCTGAATCGAGGGCCACTTGGCGTTCCAATCTACTTCCAACTAGCTTCATCAATATTACCTACCAAATAAAGGGCCTGCTTGGGAAAAATATCTAATTCTCCGGAAATGATCAATTTAAACCCTCTTATAGTTTCTGCTAGACAGACCGACATATTTTCCCGGAGAACCCGTAAATAAATCTGCTATGAAAAAGGTTTGTGATAAGAAATGCTCAATTATTCGTGCTCTTGCTATAGTTAAGCGATCCTCTTCGGATGTGTTATTCGTTTAGATTTTGAGCTAGGACAGGAGAGAGGAAATCGATTTTCCACTATTCGTGATTCGGTTCGAATAAGGATAATTAGTATTAGAAAGGGGAGCCTTCTTCAATAAAAAAAAATATAAAAAATCTATTCTATCCTTGTATTGTGACACATCGAGACAAAGGGCTACTCTTTGAATAGGAAAAAGAGTGGATCTTCAAGATCCCAAATGAATTGGCTTATTCGAAAAAAAGCCATATTCTTTGGAAGATATATCTCTTATCTGGTACTACATGGTTTCACTCTGCAAGAACTCCGAATCATTCTCTTGAAACTCATCATCTTCATCATAAATGTAAAATATAAAAAGTATAGGTATTAATGTGTAATTTGCCATTTGGATCCATGAACCAATCCATGAATCCACCAATCTAATTGAATTTGGATCAAATGGATTGAATTAGTTGAATTTTTAAGCGGATGAATTATATTGGATTATAAACTGCCACCTCTACTCATATTAGTTGTACCACGACACTATTGGGGTCTAAACAACCGTTTATTATTGAATAAAGGTTCTGGCGCCCTATAAGCGCCTTTAAAAAAAATAGTTGCACAACTCTCTATTCTCCTCAACCGAAATGAAACAGACTTGCAAACGACTACGAACGTAATTGGTGGATTGGTGCACTTCTCATTGTAAGGTTGTGTGTTTGATCCCCTCTACCAGCACCACCTAACAGGTTGAAATAATAAATAAATAAAAAAGGACTAAAATAATCTAAAATTCAAAAAAATAAAATAATGCAACGGACTAAAATAATCTAAAATTCGAAGTTTAAAAACTCTTATTATGAAACTGCTCCATTCCTTTCTCCACATTGTGCTCAAGTTCCGCACCGCCTTCGTTGCGCCCAATATGCGCATTTTCGACCGCAGCGAGCTTGTCATGGATTCCAATGCGATTGCTCATCGCTATCTCAGGTCCGATTTTGTTATCGACGTCGCCGCTGCGCTTCCCCTGCCTCAGCTATAAAATCAAGTACCAGGCAACGACTTTCATTTCCTGTCTTCCCGCCGACAAATTCCGTCATCGCCTGCTACTTCTCTCTTAATTTCAACTAGGTTGGATTGATGGTTTTAGAAATGTTCTACATTCGAGTTCCTTTCTTCTGTATTTTTTTCTCTTGGTCCTCTCTAACGTCCCTAATATGGGCATGAATGAATATAACCAGTGACGGTTTGTTTGATGATATGATCATATTTTCATTCACAAGATCGTGGTAGTTTTTGTTGCTCCACTTGATATACCATCCGTCTAAAATTTTACAGGTCAGAGACTCTTGAAATCGGTTTCCAAGGCAGTTGGAAGTATGAATGGAAGGTCATTAATGCATCGTTAGACGTCCAAGGGTTTTCCGGCGAATTGGTTTCTCCGACAAGTCCTGTAGATACGTCTCCTTCGTGTGGAAGTAAAAATGTAATTATTTCCCTTTCATGTCCGTTTTGGACCGGAGCGTAACAGACAAAGACATGGTTAAGGCACTCATTATTTGATGCATATGAGTCCTTAACTACCCTAATTATTATGAGCAATTCAAGAAAAAGTCCATATTTAATAAGTTTCTTAATGCAGTTATTTTGGTTTGCGTTTATGTTTTAGTAGTAAATGTCATCTTTAATGTGATTATTTTTTTTCTAACATATATTTTAGTTCTAAGTGGGCGGAAGCTAGCAAGCTAACGGTGGCTCTTAACCACCATGGAACGGCTTGGATTTGGCTGAAAACGACACTATTACCGGAAACCTCCCGCGGATGGGAGAGTAAGACTCGTTTAATTCTATGGATTAACATAAGCGACCCTCCTCTGGAATCCAACCATGGCCGAAAACAGTCTACGGTGTGGTACCACAAACGGCGAACTCGCCGAAAAACCTTCACCGTCAGAGAGTATTGGCAATTAATTGCCAGAACAGTTACAAGTCGTTGGCGAGTAATTGCGAATTTTCATTTCTAAATTTATTTTTCCTTAAATGTTTTTTTTATGTGTAGGTAACGATTAATTGGCCTATTTATTGTTTAGTTCCTTTTTTATTGCCAAGAATTCATGTCATTAATCACATGTTCTACGATTTCAAACGATGAATTCTTCCTTAGTGCATCAACTATGGTTTCTTATTTCTTTAGAAATAGTCAAATAGGGCTATCATCTGGCTCATGGATCAGTTTGGCCTCAAATCGAAAACAGATAGTCGAGAAAGCATTAAACATTTATTCTTCAGATGCCCCCTAGCCACCAAATTGTGGACTTTAGTGGGATTGAGCAACTTTATTGAGACCGCCCCGACTGTTAACAGTCTATGGTGGCAACATGTCATGGTCTCTAACACCTCCCCATTCCACATTCTCCAATGCGACTGCTTACTTTGGAGATTCTAGAAGTCTAGAAATAAAGTGATTTTTGAACTCTACCAACCTCATGTCCGTTCCTTAGCAAGACATTTCTACAACCAGGTCCTTGATATCTCAAACACTCTCCTCCCTCCCCAACCCCACAACTCTCTTCCCAAACCATCCAAGCACCTCATGGGTCCCGCCGCCAGACGATTACTTGAAGATCAATTTCGACGCTGTTGTTTGTGCCACCGAGTGTTCGTCTGGGCTTGTTGTCCTTGGGTCAGACGGACATGTGGTGTTGGCATTCGGGTTACAACATCAAGGAATAGTCAACCCTTCCCTGGCAGAGCTCCTAGCCATTAGAGACACTATTTCCATCATCACCTGAAGATCTTTGACTCACGTGATAGTCGAAGGTGATTCCGAGGTGGTCGTCAAGCAGATCCGGCAAGGCTTCCTAGAAGACTCGATTGGTGGTCTGGTGCTACGAGAGTGTCGTCAGATCCTTAGCTCTTTGTCCGTTTGTATAGAGTTTAGGGCGGTACCTAGAACTGCCAACAGTGCTGCCCATAGAGTGGCGCGTAAAACACTGCTTTTGTCTCGTCTAGAGCTAGAATTTTTCGATTTTTTTAGGTGACTTTATTAGAATATATTGCAAGGAATCCTGGGTAGATTTGTATGAATAACTCTTGTCATCTATTGATATCACTCCGAAATAAAATAAAATAAAAAACTGCTCCCTTCCCTATGTAATTGTTTTCCCGTATATCTAAAACATTTTTTTGCCTACTACCAAGGTTGTCAAACCGGTTTAAGTCATTGAGCCGGTCAAGCAAGGGGTTTGAGGTTTAATGGTCTGATCGGGGTCCGGCCGGTTTGAGCCGTTTTAGACGTTTTCTAAATATATATACAAATAAAGTAGTAATTAAAAATTTAATGAGTGAATAAAATTTATCTTACATATATCTATTAAAAACTTATTTTCAACAAAATAAATCTACCTAACCTCCATGATCCACCTACCATTTCCCTTCCTTCGTTCCTTTTCCTCTCTTCTGCCTCTCTTCTTCTCCCTGTTTAGGGGTCAGACCGGGGGGTTTTCTGGAGGCCGTTTTGAAGCCCGATTCGAGTTGAACCGGGTCCAACCGGGGGGTTCGATAGGGGTTTAACAACCTTGCCTACTACACTTACTCGACCCACCAACAGGAACAGAGCTCTCTATTTAACGCTCGCATTTCGTTTTCTATCTTCTGTTCTTTAGCACCTCCCCTTCCTTTCCACAGCTCCTCGGCTTCGTACCTACGCTCTCTCGGGATCTGATCTCCAAATCTATTTCTCTTTCTCACTCGCTCTGCTCCAAGGTATAGCCTTCGAAACTCCTTCATTCTCATAGTAGCCAGTAGCCACGCTTGGTCTCTCTCGCTGATGTTCATTGGATGGCGACAATTGTGTGTTTTTCGAGCTTGTCGGTGGTTTAATTATGGAATTGCTGATCCGGGTTCTGTTTCGTACTGTATTAACTGATATGGGTTTAGATCTGTGTTGTCTGATGCTTTGAAATGTGGATTCTGGAGTGATGGCCAAGTGATTTCTTTCAGATGGGAATTGAAAACACAAAGAAGGCGGGATCTTTGTGGGGTTCTTTCTGTTTGCATTTCCTGGGCTGTTTGAGTTATGATTCTAATTAATCAGTTGGCTTCTTTTACAAAGTTTTGCCTTAAATACTGTACTATGATTTTTGCTAGTTATCTGCTGATGAGTGTTGTAGTTTCACCACCCTTTGTGAATTTGTGTTCCCAAGTGCTATTAGTGAAAAATTAATGAGTTGGATCTGCCAATTATGGTACTTCTGATCTATTAATTGGTGGGTAGATGTGTATTTTCTGTTTTCTCAAAGTTTTCTCTCCAATTTTCAGTTTTGTGGTACTTCTTATAGGCATAGCTTCAATCCAATCTACTGGGAACGGCAGCCTCAGATTTTTAGTACTTAAGTTGTTGGTAATATGTTTGTATATTATTCCTCCTCCTGGCAATTGATGATAGCTTTTCGTTTATTCTTCTCAGAAATGGGTCGTGGTGTGAGCAGTGGTGGAGGGCAGAGCTCATTGGGATATCTGTTTGGGAGTGGTGAGTCTCCCAAACCTGCCAAAGCCAGCAGCCCCCCAACCGCAGCCCCTGTTGAGACGGAGACTGTAAACGTTAGGCCAGCTGCTGCCAAGCCTGCTCCCCAGCTGGCAGATATCACCAAGCAAATTCCTGCTGGCATCAACAGCACTTCCTCAAATAACTACATGCGTGCTGATGGCCAGAACACTGGCAACTTCCTCACGGTAAAGATCATACCTCAAATAACTACTGCATTGTGTTCTTTTTTATCTGACATGGTTGAATGTAGTTGAAACTGTTCAACAGAAATCACATTGCTCTTCATAGTTAATAGTTCCCATGTCATGGATCCTAGGTCCCTGTGATCACTAGTTGTGTTGTTTCCATGAAAGTGACTACTCCTACAAAGATTGGATATTTATGCTGCCTGTAACAATTGTCTTGTTTTGCTGATATCTCCAGGATCGACCGTCAACCAAGGTTCATGCTGCACCGGGCGGCGGGTCTTCTCTGGGTTACCTCTTTGGTAATGGTGGCGGTGGTAACTGATATTTTGTGTTATCATCAATCGATCGTAATACAACTAGCGTTTGTTGGTTTGAATTGGTGATTGGAGGAATATTTGATGTGTAAGCTTCCAATGAAGCAATGTGTTTCATCTTTTCCATTATATTATATATATATATAACTAATAGACCATGGATTGTGTCCTGTAATGTATATTCAAAGTCAAATACTGTTTCGGAAATGTCCAATCAAGAAGGCAAGAACGGATCATCCCTTTTAGTCACAATATGAATCCTCATCATCTACTGTGGATGGCTGTTGCTTCCCTCTACTGTTCTCTCACGATTATTGTTCCTTGAATTGCTGCAATTCATAAGCAGCACTGCAGCAGTGTGTTGATGACTTGATGTCACTGAGATGGGGAAATAATGAAAATGCCTCTCTTGGATCCCTTTTAAAATAAATGGACCTAGATTGAATAAGATCGAAAGTGCATTTGATCCAACTCTAACCCTTATCTTTGCTTTATTTTTTTAAATCCAATCTTGTATCTAATTAATGGGTTCCATTCTAACTTTTGGTTAGCTGTTGCATCCAATTTTCAGTTGATTTCCTTGGTGTTTTTGTTACAATCGATTTTGCACGAATCCTCGATCTTATTCACTTGCACTTCAGTAGATGTGTTTTAATGAGAGAGGATGTAAAACAAGAAAATACTTCACCCTGCAGAAGTCATGCTGTCGCGAGTAACGCAAAGCTTGAAGATGATGAACTGAAAATAGTAAAGATGAAAATGATAATTTCTATCCGTAACCGTATTTGTGTAAGCACATTTATTTCCGTACACTTTGAGGACTTCAATTACAAACTTACGATTTCCATCATAGACATAAGCTGAACCCAGCAAGCAATGAAGTCAACAACTTTTCCTCTTCTATGGTGATTTGTATCCCTCGCTACATACAAAAAAAAAAAAAAAATCACAACCTCTATTCAATTCTCATCATGCTCCCTCAAACTTGGCAAAAGCAAACATCTGAAGCTTTTCCAATTAGGGGGCAGCAGGAGCAGGAATTATCCCCCATTTTCTTCTCACATCCTCCAAGTCTTCGTCTAAGTGCTTCTCGTAGTATACGCACATGAGATCTGTGCACTTCATTCCAGCAGTGTTAGCCCAAGGAAAGTAGTGCTGGAAGAACAGTTTCCTCTGTTTCTCGTTGAACCTCACTGTGCCCCCCAGGACAGACATCAGGCACATTGGCAGGTACATCTGATGGAACTCTATCACCTTCAGCGCTGATTCGCCAATCAAGTTTGTGTGCAGACCAAAAAGGGTGTGCCAGAAGTCGTGCACCTCTCGAGCCCGTGTTGCCACGTACGCAAGTTCATCGGTCTCCATGAACCTCACTGGCGGACGATCGTCAGGCGAGAAGTTTCTTGATCCCATGAATCTTGCGTAGGCTGCGCCAAATGTGTTCTCCGGAAGGTCCCATGCGTGCCCTACTTGTGATGATACTACACGTGGTCTCTCTGATAGCACTTCCTGTCGGAAATACACACATTGCCAGTGAAAATTTGGCAATAGTAAGAGAAGTTTTTCCCCCGGTTTCCTGAAAGTTACAAATAAAAAAGAATGTTCTGTGGCCAAGCTCCACATCTGTCTCATCGTTTCCTAGTAAATCATCTCATCTGAACCTTAGACTGTATAGTGACTGATTAATAGCAACTATTATCATGATGAAAAAGATGGCTTCAACATTCTCTAGTGGTAACCTAGAGGCCACACAAACAACTTCTGAGGCTCATCACTTAACCGGCATTCTATCAAGAGAAAACCTTGGTTGTCATGACAACTAACCATTCGTCCGAAATGGTTCCAGGAAACCAAATAGCCTCTCACCGATTCATCCATTCTATATACTGGTCTCCTAAGAAAGCAAGTGCATTCCAAATTCTTTCGTAACCACGCAGTTGCATATACAAATAAAGTTCAATCAACTCAGCCAAGGTAAGTAAGTGTTCTGTTCAGAACCATATTGAACAAAGAAGAAGAACTCACTCTGCCTTCTGGGCTTCGCTTCATCCTCTCAAGAACTCTTTCGAAAGCAGGCTTCCCCGTGGTTTCACCGAGTGCTCCGATCAAATCCGCTCTCCGCGGGTCAAGCAGTGCACCCACCGCCGATCCAACCGCAACCGCCGCCTGCTGCCACCGCTTCAACGGCACACGAGTACCTTGTATGATCATTTCTGCCGACTGCACTAATTCAAAACCCTAAAGCGCGAAAGAGGAAAATTTGGTTTCAGAATCGAACGTCCGACAACAACCGATCTTCCGCCTTCTCAAATCTCAATTTCCGATCGAAGAGATCAAGAAAGCGAAGTCTAACGACGAATTTCATTAGAAGAGGCCCAAAAAGTAGATTTGGCGTATCCCCATTTGCGACAGCCAGGTCCAGCAGTTCAGCCCATAATGAAACTCATGCTTAGCCCAGTAAAAACAAGCAAGCCCACAATCGAGTCCGTTGACAATTTGCTGGCGTCTTTCTTCTTTCGCCAGTTGCAGTCGGGGCAAATTCGGAAATTCCACGTCCAGGCTAGGGCTGGGAATCCAGACCAAACCGTATGGGAAACCGCGGTCTAGACCGTATCGTATGGTTTGGTCTGGACCGTGAGAACATAACTATGGTCTGGTCTGGTTTGCGGTCTCCTCCTTTAGTGCGTGGTCTGAAGTGGTCTGGACCGCGGTCTACCGCAGTAAACCGTAACAGACCGCGACACACTACCTACTACCTTGGACAAAAATAACACTAAATTGAACCTCCATATGTGTATTTGAAGAAGAAAGTTAGTTGATTTTTCATTTAGTTGAGAGCCAACAAATTGAAAAATGATCGCTTATATGTTATCTCCTTATCAAAGTACCACACAAAAATTAGAAAGACTCATAAATAATATTCACAGATAATGTCTAGACTACGGAGTCGATAGAAATTAAACACTACAAAAAAATTCGTTCACCTTGATGAGATAAGGAAAATTATTGAGAGATATGCGACCATATTAATGGTTCGAAATTACCTCGACGTCATCAAAAAGGTTTTCAACTGGGAGAACCTTCAGATCACTCGAGATAGGAGAGAAGCAATAGCACAAAGAGGAATATGGAAATAAGGCTATTTGAAAATTGAAAAAACCCACTTCTATCCTCATATTTATTCTCATTTAATACGATCACAATTTTTTTGTTTCACTAGCATATTGGTCACTAGATTTTTTTTTTATAGATACAGGTGAAGGTTTGGAGGGCAAACAAGAGTTAATTTTTTTTAACATGGTCTATTTGGTCCAGACCATACCGGACCGCACCGCACAGGTGTGGTCTGGTCTGGACCGTATAGTATATGGTCTGGTCCATGGTCTGTGTTCCAACCTCTCGGTCTGGACCACAGACCGTATCTATGGTCTGGTCTGGACCGAACCACATCGTTTCCCACCCCTAGTCCAGGCAAAGGCAACGGAACAACGGCTAAATTACACGTTTGGTCACTCAAATTACATAAATCTTTCACATTTGTCACCCGAATTACTTTTCTTTCTTATTTGTCACTAACTTTACGGTTCGTTTCATCGTTAGTCACTAGCCGTTAGTCTCCGTTAACTCCGTTAGTTTGTTGATGATGTGGCCAACAAAATTGCTGACTGGACTGTTAACTTAATGACATGTCCATATTAAAAAATAAAAATAAAAAACAAAAATTAATAATTTTTTTTATCGCAGACTCACCACTGCTAGCAAACTCCTCCCCTACATCGCCGCTGTCGGCCGCCCTAAAAAGCAAAGAGTTTATCATCATCCTCCGGTCCCTCAACACACTACCGGCACTCACTGCCGCGTTCCCCTCTCCACCACCGCCTAAATAGCATATTCAAATCTATGACAATCCCACGGTTTATGTAAGACAAATCTGTTTCTGATTCGAGAGCCCCAGCTCCTCCGCCGCTCTCGCTTTCCCTCGCTTCCGCTTCTTCTTGTACCTCCGTTTGAGTTGAGATAGTTCGTCGTCTTCAAGAACTGACCTAGCGATTACGATTCTGGTATCCCTAGGTAGATTTTTCTCTACAGATTGTGATTTGATTGTTATGAGACTCGATTCTATATGCCGTCAAGGGGGAAGAGCAACCGGATAGGACCGGAGTCAACGAAGAAGACTAACAATCGCAAGAACCGGCTGACGAGCGTGCGGTGTCGTTTCACGGCGGGAAATAGCGGGCAGATTTGATCACTGCTGATAACGCGACGAATTGACGGTCGGAGATTTGAATGTTGCTGTCATCCTGAAGTACAACAAGAGGTCGTAGTTTCTTCCGTCAGAGGCGGCAGAGGAGCAAAGGAAGAAATGATTTGTTCTGCTCTCTCCCTCTGTTTCCGCCGCGCTATTCTTTCTACCTTCTCGGGGATAAGCGAAACAGAATCGGTGAGCTGATAATGGCGAGATATTTTTTTCAAGAGGCGATGGGGTATACACTCGCATCACCAGAGCAAGGATGCTGAGAAAAAAATCTTGCGAGCTGATAAAGGGAAGAGATATTTTTTTCCCAGGAGGCGATGGGGTATTTTACCATTGTTGCGGAGGCGGAGAAGCCCACGGCGGCAGCAGCTCGCGAGTGCAGGGCGAGAGGATGAGTCTGTGGTAGTTAATTAATTATTTTTAATTTTTTAAATATTTTAAATTGACATGTCATTAAGTTAACGGTCCAGTCAGCATTTTTGTTTTCCACATAATAAAAAATTTAACAGAGTTAACGGAGACTGACGGCTGGTGATTAACGGTGAAACGAATTGTAAAGTTAGTGGCAAATAAGAAAGAAAAGTAATTCGGATGGCAAATGTGAAAGATTTATGTAATTTGAGTGACCAAACGTGTAATTTAGCCACGGAACAACGGTCACATTTCGGCACGCTGGACCTGACACATTCGCCTTGGAGATGGATCACTAGCCTACTTCCCGCCAGTCATGGAAACCGCCAGCTCCGACGACCGACATCTAGTCCACTGTCGTAGTCCACGACTCCTCGTCGGAATCCGAGATGGAGACGAAAACCATAGCCGAAACCTCTCACCGCCCGGAGACCGATGATATCTATGTCATTGCCACGGCGGTGTATAATGGCGGAGCTGCTGATTTCGGAAATAGCAACGGGGAAGAAGACGAGGACGACGAAGAATCGCTGCTTCCGCTTCTCAAGCGCTTGCCCAAGGACTTCGGAGGTGGCGCCACGCTAGATGACCAAGTTGCTGACGATGACTACGACGGGGACTTTGGGACAATGATTGTTAAAACGAATCGCGGTACCAGGCAACAGAATTTATCGTCGTCTTCATCGTCATCGACGGTGAAGCCTCCTTGGGGGACTAAGATCAGGTGACTAAGGGGGGGTCCCTTAGTCACATGACTAAGTCAATCTCCACCCTTGCACCTCATTAAAATCCAATGGCTCATATTAATCCAATTTAATAAATGACAATATAGTAATTGCATGATTATTTAATTTATTAATTTAGATAATAAACAAAGAAAAATCAATTTGACCGCTGCTGCCTTCGCGGTTCCCCCGACCGGAAAAAATTTCCGCCGACTTTGGTTTCTTTTTTCCGGCGTCTCCTCTAGCCGGCGGCGACATTTGTGATTGGCGGTTACTGTCCATTTATATTAATGGTGCTGTCCATTTATTTTGGGGCGGGAAGACATGGGAATGAATTGTCCCAGGTGAACGAGAGAGAGAGAGAGAGAGAGAGAGAGAGAGAGAGAGAGAGAGAGAGAGAGAGAGAGAGAGAGAGAGAGAGAGAGAGAGAGAGAGTTTTCCGTCGGCCGGAGGGAATTTCCCGGCGATAGTGTTGGATTTCGTGATGTTTGCTAACCTATTTTGTAATGTTTGTATAGATTTGGTTTGTATTGTTTGTCATTTTTAGTGACATTTTGTACGGTTAGTATGCTTTTTACTGTTTGTCGGTTTATTTTATAATGTTTGTACGCTTTGTTATTTTTTAATGTTTGTCGGTTTTTTTGGTAATGTTTGTAAACTTTGTTATTTTTGTGCACCATGTTTATCATTTTTGTCAACCATGTTTGTAATGTTTTTTATGTCTAAAAAACAACTTCGTTGACTTTTGGATGGAACTCCTCTCTATATAGGGATGGAGCCTCCTAAGTCAACCTGGGTGTTTTTTCCAGTTCGTATGGATTGTCGGTCTAGTTTGTCATTTTTGTCCACCATGTTCGTAATGTTTGTATGTCTAAAAAATAACTGGGTTGACTTTGACACGAAGCCCTCTAGCCTCCAAAGTCAACCCGACTGTTTTTCCAGTTTGTATGAATTTTTGGTCTAGTTTGTCAATTTTGTCCACCATGTTTGTATGTCTAAAAAATACCCGGGTTGACTTTGGGAAGGAGCCCCTCTATATAGGGATGGAGTCCCCAAAGTCAACCTGGTTGTTTTTTCTTTTTGTATGGTTTGTATTGTTTGTCGATCTAGTTTGTATTTTTTGTACAGTTCATATGTTTGTAATGTTTGTATGTTTTGTCGCTCTAGTTTGTACTGTTCGTATGTTTGTATGGTTTGTACTGATTGTAAGTCCAGTTTGTATACTTCGTAATTTTCCATAATACCCAAACTACCCCTGTCATTAATTAAATAGCCCTTCCCACTCTTTAACCATCAGATTGCTATATCCAGATCTAAGGGCTAGGAGGGGCTTAGTCAAGTGACTAAGCATCTCACTGGATCCTCTCTCCTCCTTGGGGCAGCTCGCCGTTAAGATAGACTACGATGACGAGGAGGAAGAAGACGATAATGATGATGATGGAGAGGGTTTCAGGACGTTTGTTGTGAAATCGATGTTGAGTGGGACGGTAGTGAGGAAGAGTGGGGATACTGGAGGAAGTGGTAGTGGGTCAACTATGGGGAGAGCGGTGGCGAGCATGCAGGCAGTTGGGGATTTAGGGTTTGGGAAACAGAAGAGGAGGAATGGTTCGTTGTCTTTGCAGGGTGATGAGTACAAGCACCATCAGCACACTAAAGTATCTGACAGCTCGATTCCAGAGAGTGTGATCAGAGAAGATCCAACGACTAAGTATGAATTGCTCAATGAACTAGGTGAGTGTGATAACTAAAATGTCAGAAGTTTCTTTCTCCTTTTCGCAAGCTTGTGCATAGTTTGAGCCAATCCTGGACTTCTTACTTTAACACTGTCACAGCTTTTGTCCTTTATTATGAGAATGGATTGTTAATGATTTTCGATTCTTTTAATTCTTTTAGGTTTTATTCATGATCTCTATTGAACCTGCTCCAATGCTTGAGGATAAAGAGAGGTGGTAGGTATTTCATCATGATGCCCCTAACCTTACATTAGTCTTTCAGCGGTTAGCTACATCCTCTTTGTGACTACATAGTACATATGCTATGGTGTCTGAACTCTACTTGGTTTCGTTATTAGGTCACTTATCTTTCATGATTTTGTTGCAAAGTGCCTCACAAAGGAACCACGTTCACGTCCACCTGCATTTGAATTGTTGCAGGTTTGGTCAGTTCTACAGCTCAATATATAAAACATGTACTCTGAAATACTTGGAGTAAATTCCTTGTGCATTTTTCTGCTCTTGTTATCCTCTTGTTGAAGCTGCTTCATTGTTAGGACTAGATCTTGCATTTTTCTATAACCTGGAGCTATTGCGGGGGTGTTTTCTGCTACTTTCTTTATGCATATCTACATCACTGCATGTTGTCACGGAGCAACTCTTGGCCGTGCGGCACTTAGCACTCAAGACTCGTTAGAGCGCTAAGTCAGCCTTGCTCGTATTCACTCAAACTCACAAGTATGGAGAAAAGCTCTAGAGATGGAAACTCTCAATTTCTGGATGAATGAAAAGTGATGGAGAGGGCTGCTTATATAGGCATCCTCTCCACTAAGTACAATGTACATGGCCGTCATAAATGAACGAACCTAGAAGTCCCCCCATACATGAACTTGCCCCATACATGAATGTAATGAATAAGGTGCATGAATAAAGATAGATAAAGGGGGATGCATGTACATTGGTGCATGAATCGGAAGATGCATGCATGTACTTGCATCCTTCTAGAATTCTCTAGAATCTTTCGCGTAACATTCTCCCCCACTCAATCTCGCGACGCCCTCGTCGTGGACTCCGCATGAAATGCCTCGATCAAATCTTTGTGACGCCATAGCAAAAG